CCACATATTCTGTGGAGCATCCTCTCAGCGATTCAATCACCAACAATTTACCCTGGTAATCAAGCAGTGTACTTTTGGCGCGGCGAGAATAAAACGCCTTGCAGGCAAATGTGCATGCAGCGCTGAATGCATTACAATCCGTCCGCAGGATGTTGTGATTCATGCTTAACAACTTTGGCATCAACGTGAGGCAGCCTTCGAAGTGACACTCAGCTCCGCCTAGGTACCCACTTGACTTGAATATAAGTGAATCACTCCGATAATGTTGTTCCGAATCAAATGTTCGGCTAATTGAAATGGGAAAAAATTAAAGAGCGCGCTTCCTCAGTAGGTGCATTAGGAGCGTGAAATCACCCTGGTACGAACGCATCTAGCATCAGCGCTGCTGGGAAGGCATGTACATGAAATGTGACTAGACACTTACACGGACCATTTCTTATTGGAAAATAAAAATGAAATCAGCTTTAAAATTATGCAATTCAAAGTGGTAGACCCTACGTCTCAATAAGCATGTCAGTAAAAGCATCTCACTGTCTTAGAAACCTTGGTGAGTGAAGCCTTTGCTTGTGTGAATGCTTGAATGAATTGCATTATGCATCTCGGAAGAAAAAGCGATGACATGCTCGAAATGCCATTACCTTCAGCAATCGGCAACGGTGAGGGACAGGAGGACGCCAGGATTTCATGTTCAGGAAAACCGACAGATCAACAACTTGTCCCCTTGTTATGTCAAAATCATGAATTACAATCCCTTTTGCTGTTGATCAGATAATGAAAATGAACAATAAAGTCAGTTACTTGTACCGCAGAATTTGACATTGTAATATACAAGTTTGTGTTGGATTTGGAGTTGGAGATTGTTGAGGGAAAACACAGAAAAAATGGAAATTTTTACAAGCGAGAAAGGAGTCAGGAATATGAAGTAGTGTGATGATTCGGAGGGAAGGGGAATTTGCCTTTTACTTCAAAAGTATTCAAAGTACGTTATGAGCTCAAGAGGACAGAAAAGCGCACTAGAGGTCGACCAGAGGAGGATCACAGCTGAGGTGAAAGACCCATAGTTTTCTCAGCCACTTTTTGACCAACTTGTGCAACCGTGGGAACAAAAACCTAGAAGTTGAAGAAAAGCGCGCTCAAAAATAGCAGTGGTGGGAGAAAATTATGCAATTGGATGGGTAAAAGTTGGAACGAACCATATATGCTCTAGAACTTAAAGAACAATTGAAAGTGACCAAGGTAGGTATGATCTCGATAGTCCGATACCTCAATGCTGTTTATTTCAATAAGTACTGCTTAAGATAGCAGTGCATCAAGGTCCCAACTGCCATCCCCGTTTATCACAGAATAACCTTTTATGAAACCGATCATTTATTTTAGGTAGCAAAGGAGCTGTGATCAGCATAAACGCCTAAATTGCTCAGATAAGTGGACGTGGACAGCAAGTAAACGCTTATCAATGCAGAAGACACAAGCCTAGTATTTGGAGAGCAAAGATTTACTTCACATGAATCAAGAGGCACAAATATTTGGGCCAGTTCGTTTTGCAAAGCGCAATTTAACTGAATAAAATGTTTAAACGACATGCGCAAATCATTCAATGGTGGAGATATAACTTAGCGATTACAATCGGCTTATTTATGCGAGACTACCACAGGAAGCAATCATAACGCACATTACGTATTGATAGGCAAATAGACACCTCATGACAAGTGCAATTCACACCAAGCATACACCACCTACAACAGAACACGAACTGAGGCTACTATATTCACATTCCAACCACTCGAGGAAAATGTATACATTCGACACAAAGTTAATGAATCTCTGCAGATAAATCTTTACCGATGGTAACGAGCAGCCTTTTAGGAAGAGGAGTGTTTAAAATCCAGCCATTTGAGCTAGCCGTTCACTTGCCTATCACTACTCCTATCCAATTGTGGAGCTTATCAAGAGAATAGCAACCGTCAACTGGATCTTACGTTGTCGACAATCCCTTGTGCAACGCGATCAATTTGTTCACCGACTTCAGAGCCACTGCCAGTGCATCTGACAAAAATCCAAGTGCCCAGAGTGATGAGGAGCAACCAGAAGGGGAAGACCAGAATGTTGGAGACTAACGAAAGACCAATTGCATCCAGAAAGCCGGTCACCACGTAAAAAACGAAAATGACGGTCAATAGAACCATGGGAGTCTTAAAATGCTGAAATGAAAAGTTAAATGGAGTATGAGGAGAGTAACTGTTCATATGTTCGGGGTATGATACTTAACAACATGCGTAATTTTAAAAGAGTAATGAACAACCTCCACCGTATTTTTGTTTTGATTTGACATTTTGTAGTTATTGTAGAGTTCATCAATCTCCTGCACCAGCTTCTTTTCGAAGTTTTCAGCTAAGTCCTCACCACCCATTTTCGGTGTCCTCCTGAATTCTTTCAACGCCCTGTCCTGACAACGCTGATGGGCCTCTTCGATAATTCGAGGTGACACAAAAGGTCGGCGAGGTCCACAAACCTAGAGAATGAGTCCCATTTGAATGAAACATGTTCACGTATTTGATGGGCATTCAAACGATAGGTTCCTTAGAATTGCCACAGGAGTCTAAAGTGATTTAAGAAATAACGCTTCCAAAAGGCCGAGTTAGCAGCCCAAGAGAGAAGCGCTATAGGTTTATGCTTGCACACCCTACCTCTTATTCTTCAACTGAGTTACATTTGCACTTGAATATTCTCTTTTAAAGGCAATTGATAGGCTTAAGAACCTGAACATTTAAAACAAATTCTACAAGCGGAATCACCATACGGATACGCAGTTAGAATGTTACATTGCTGTCTTATGCTGCCCGTTTCCAATTGCTCGAAAATGCAGACAAATAACTACGGTCCCTCAACTGAATTTTGAAATCGAGTTCTTCAATTCCAGAAAAAATGGCAAAGGCATCGACAAAAGCCATCCGGAATAGCTTACATTAGACCTCGCATGGACAGACGCACCCCGTAGCAAAAAAGGACAGGAGATAAGTTCTTTACTAGTACGTAATCAATGCCAAAAAGTTAAAATTTTCATTCATAAGATGGTAGACAAAATGGCGTGCCTAGACTATAACAGACCATACCTAAAGGCACTCCGACCAAGATTAAAATTACATTGCATGCACCGACAAAAGCGCACACCCTAGCATACATTCGCGATTACCATGGCTTTGCTCTCAAGTTCGTAGTCTTACGTGACGTCAGGAAGAGGTGCAAAAAAACTCACCACATTCATCTCCTGTACATAAAGACTACGACTCCGATTGCAGGCATTCAAATTGTTTACCTCCGCAGTAGCCGCGTACATGGAAACTGGCTGAGGCAATTCACCACTTTGAAAGATTTTGACATAAGCTCGGAAGTATTCCATAAGCTCGCAGCACGTCACGGCCTGTCCATTGATGCTTTTTACGGTAAGATTCAAGGGCGAAAGAATATGAGGAACATAATCTTGAAGTTGCTTTACGAAAGTTGGATCAATATCAGCAAGACGACCATTGAATGTGGGGCTATTAGCCACGGTTAGTCCAGGATGTGGCATTAGGTAGCATTGGAGATCGGAGAAGCACGACTTTATGTGTGAACGAAGTGATACATTTTCCTTCGGCATATCGTCATCAATCTATCAGGATAAGCAACATGAAAGCAAGCTACGAAAGAGGTGAGTAAACGAGTGGAAAATGCACAAAGTGATAACCATTACAGTAATCTAACCGAACAGTGAGAACTCTGCTGTGCTGTGGTGTGCCTTTATAATCGCAGTTCATTCACGATCTTAGCTTTTATGCCGGCGCGCACAGAAAGGCAGCGATATAGCTCGGAGGCAACAGTTAAGATTACCCTTAAAGTCAATTTAGCCTTGTTAGTGCATCGTCAGTGATCATGTGCTAATGTGGACCTAGGATATCTAAACTGTCTGCACAGTGGGTTAATTGAATTCATAAAAAGGCAAATGCTATAAAGACTAATGAACTCCAACAATTCGTTAAATACTATGAACATACCAAATTAGGGACAAAAGTATGGATACGTAAAATTCGTAAAGAAAACTATAATATCGAGAATACGAAACCGCAAAAGATAAAATTCTGAAAATCACTACAAGGTTGTGGTTGACAATGAGATGAAGCGAAAATAACTGACCCATGAGTTGAACAGCACATGATGCAGTATCACATGCAGTAACAAAACGAGAAAGTTGGTGAAGGGGATATGGATAAATAGTTCGTGGTAAAACTTAATCAGCTGCTTGACAAACATCCTCATCTACTAAATATCTTACTGTAAATTCAAGTAAAACAAAGCAACCGCGCGCGGGTACTCCTAATAATGACACGAAGATCATAAATTAACGTACCTCAAGGCGCTTATTAAGGAGATCCATTCCTCCTTTACTGCCATAGGGATGCTCATAAGCAAACGCCCAATCACGGATCAGAAATTCAAGATGCTAAAATTTGAACAAAAATAGTCATATCTCAATGTTGATATTAGTTAATAAAGGCAGATACCAGGACAGCTTTGTACCTGGAAAGGAGTCTGAGCATACCCAGCCTCGAGAGCTATTCTCCCATACTCCGTAAAGAACTGCAAGTGCTGTAGATAATCCTCTTGCAGGTTATCCTTAACGTTGAAAATTTCTTTACTGCTTAGCATAGTACTAAGCGCAAAAATAGTAGCCGACTGCTTCATGTTAGCTCTACAATCAAATGACCCCTGCGTATCGAGGAAAAGCACGGCAACTTCTTCACCAGAGGGGAGTTTTACAAAGAAAGGTTCATTCCAAATATGAATGCCGGTGGTATCGCGATCAGCACCACCTCTCCAGTGAAACCCTGTCAATGGCTCATGCGGATCACCCAACCAATTACTCTTGTCCTTTGAATACATGTACCGCAGAAAAAAATCCAAAAGAAAGGACTTTCCTTTACGAAATGTGCCCACGACCGACACAACAACAACCTTCCTATCTCTTGTAGCTGGTTCCGTCAGGATCTTAGAAAGAGCACCTTCAACAAGTTCAATTGAATTATCCTTATCGCCTCCGTTGGCAACAACAATTTGGATCGGTTTGCCTCCCCTATACGCCATCACTTTACGCAACAAAAGCCAAAGAAGCCCTAGAAACTGAATTCGGAATAGTGGGTAGTGCAACAGTCAATTAAAAGTAATAACATTTAGACATAAAAATTTTGCATTCTACATTTATATCCATCGCTAAAATATTTTATTGGATTTTATTATTTAATTACCAATGTTGAAGTTGGCAGTCCCTCCTCGAATGCTTATAGGTCGTTACCGTTATATTGCTGAATTTCAAACCTACAAACCCTAAATAGATTACGGGCCAAAGTTTGCATTGGCCCGCACCCACGAAGCTCGAACGCAGTTAACAACCACACCGCACCTCCAAGCACTTGTGACCGTGCCCCCCGGAGACGGCGCTTGTGATCGCACCAGCCGACATACCCGGACAACCGACAAGCGTTGTGTACGACAAACCGCCCCTAACCCGCCCAACACAGTGCAAGGCACCCCCCGGACTTTTTCCTAGACGGGGAGCGCGTACGTGTCGGTACTCCGAACATCCACGTAAACCGTAAGACAAAACACAACATAGAGACGGTCCCGCATGCTACAGAGGTCAAGACGGTAATAAGGAGAGAACCTGGTTCCCTTACACTACTATAATGTAACTGCTGGAAAAAGGTGAATGAAGCGATAGCAAAAGTTGGTCAAAATTACGCCATTTGCGAGATTGCTTGGTAATCCACAAGTGTGCATGATTCATCCTCAACCTAAAAGTGGAAAAGAACAAGAGCCAAAGACTTTTAGGTAAAATTGTAAAGTCCTCTAGACATAAAACAAGCTCTCAAGCAGTGTACGATGGAACACAAATTATAAAGAATTCGAAAAACAATGGCGAAAATTCGTAGTAAATTAGCATTCTTAGGTAAGCACCGTTTACCTTTATATCTGCGCTTTATTACCTCTGACGTCTCAATCAACTTGCTCGTGGTCGAGTTCCAAGCGTAGTCCATAGCCTTAAGCGAACCAGAGGGGTAGCACATAACGGTTCCAACACCGGCACCGAGACACCCATAGGTGATTTGACGCAGAAATCCTACCAGTTCAGCGAATGAAAACATAATTACCTCTACTACCAAGGACGAGACCACCTAAACCGCAAACCATAATAAAACCAGCTCGGGCAAGTACAACCGGATCTTCACGCACGCGCTTGCCAATTGCTGTGACAAATGTGAAAACAAAATTGTACAAAACCCATTGAACTTTCAACCAGAAATCTAGCGGATTTTTGCGCCTTCGTCTAAAAAATTTAAGAAAATCACTATCGTACCTCGGTTTTTCCGTACCAGTGCATAACGGATTGACGAGTCGGTGTAATAACGCCATATAAGGCACTCCTCAACCTGGAATCAGGCTTGGCCTCTAGAACATACTCTTTGTTCTCATCAATAAGACTGTTATAAATTGGCAACTAGAGGAAGGTGAAGCAAATATTAAGCAAACCTCCCCAGCCTTCACCATTAAGGCGAAAATCTCGATTCGAAGTTGCAATGACAATACCAGTTAACATAAAGTGCTAAAGCCTGAAAAAATGATCAAGAATAAAATTATCTTTAAACATATCTGACACGCAAATTTGCCTATAAAGCCTAGTGATAAGTAAATAAATGGAAAAAACGCTCCATTAGTTGGAACGCAGTTGCTCTTTCTAAGAGCAAACTTCGTAAAAATTTGAGCAAATTTTCTACCCAAGGCACAACCTACAAAACTTTTAAACCGAATTCCTAGGCATTTTTTAAAACACTTAATTTTTGCTTCTAAGCTGCGTTGGTAGTAGTCTCTGCAACGTTAGAACTCACGGTGGTCTTAAGAACATAAATCAGTAGTTTTGTTCTCCAAGCCCTGCGCAAGGCATTACTGCATGCGCATTCTGCACTACGCGTAGCAGCATTACCCTTTAAATTGCTTAACTTTTGAGAAGTGGACTCTAAAAAGGTATATGACTTAACATCCATGGTGTGGGGCTAAGTCAGCAACAGGCTCCCTTGCATCGCGATCGAATTCAAATGTCGCCTTTAACCTAACAAGTATAATTTTAGAAAAACCAAAATGTGTTACACTATAGAACCTAGCCTTTGTAACACGACGGAGGTGTACGCTCCTGATCCTATTTCACTAATTAAAAGTATGCGCCAAAAGTACACTGCTTGAGACTTCTCAATGCAATGTGATTACCAGGGTAAATTGTTGGTGATTGAATCGCTGAGAGGATGCTCCACAGAATATGTGG